TGTTCGCATATTTTTGTGAGGCTAAAGGTAGACCATTACAATTAACACTCAGAAAGGACCAACTCTATCTTATAGGCATAACACCATGACCTTCCAGGAGACAATTAGAAACTGATGGAACCCACTCCAATATCAACAATTTAGGCTAGGCCATGGGTCTTTCATGGGCTTGGGTAGAACTCTCCTTGGAAAACCGGCTTGCCAAGGGAGGGTGCCCAAGCCTTTATAACCCACATGTCCACCCTTTTCTCTTTCAATGTGGGTTCTAACATTCCACCACGCTTCCCAACCGACGTCCACGTCGGCCTCTTTACCCCCGTCGGCCTCTTTACCCCTTGGGTGACTACGCGGATCCCCTTTCCCTCGGGCCTCCATGCCCTTTCTCGGGGTAGCAGCCCAGCCCCAGGTCAGCCTGCCACGGGTCAGCCTGCCACGCGTGTGCTGCCACGTAGGTGCGGATCATGCTCTAATACCAATTGATGGGAACCCACTCCAATAACTCAACAATTGGGTTGGGCCATGGGCTTGGGTAAACTCTCCTTGGAAAACCGGCTGGCCAAGGGAGGGTGCCAAGCCTTTATAACCCACATGCTCACCCTTTTCCCTTTCAATGTGGGATTCTAACAAAACAAAACATTAAGAACTATTAATCTACACAACCAGAAAAAATCTCGTATGATATTACCTTAGTCATGGCATTTAGGCCCGCCTTTGAACATATGCAACAGCTCCAGTAGTTGTCCACGTCAAGACCAGCTATGGAAGAAATATTGATCACTGATCCTCCAGATTTGCATCACGATACGTATCCAGACATACTTTGACACCAACCAAGATCCTGTTAAATTTGTTTTGAAAACATGATTCCACTCCTCCTCAGACAATCCAATGGAGACTTCACATTACCTGAGTGCACAGCAAGACACATAAAAAATATAAGCCATAGTAATTACTCATACATACATCAAATAAAATCAGAAAACCAAAACCACGAGAAAAAGGCAAATAATTCATGCTACTATACTGAAAAGGAGTTACGCTCAAGTCAGGAAGCTGAAACCGATGCTGAAAACCAGAATCACCATAAACACATTATGAGGTGAAGAATAACCAAGATCATGTAAACATACTTGTAGTGTACTTGTAGTTTGGTCTGCCCACCTCCATTGTATATAAGTAACCATAATGGAATCCATAAACATTATAAATATGAACTCATTTGAGAGAGGGATGAGGAAGAGGGTCACAAAAAAGATATTAGGAATTAAGCCTCCATAACATTTCAACAGAAACCTTCCAACCATTAAAAGTAAAACTTCTCATCTTTTCCTTTTTCGAAACAATAAAACAAACTCAAAAGACCGGCCGTAATCAGAAACTCAACAGTCATACCCACTAACTGCAAAATTATGAAATGTTAGATATAATGCAACTAATACAAAGAAATGACTTCCACAACATATTTGAAGTGTCCACATCTATTTCTCATATCCAAAAAGATAAAAAAAAAAAAAAAGAGTAAGTTAAGCATAGGGCTCTTTGGAAGCAACAGACATGGTAATATCAATTAATAATGTGAAAAATACTACAGATCATAACACACTGAGAGTTTTTGCAACACTGAATAACCAGAACATAAAATTACTGCCATGTGATGGAGATGAACTGTCAACTAGAAACCAATTTATTCAACCGCTCTCTCAAATCCAGAATTAAGTTCCCAAATAATTTGAATGAGAGCCATCAACATAAGCATCAAATAAGTGACTAAACCGAACCCCAATTAAACATAAACAAACAAAACAATACCCTTTTCCAATTACTTTATCCTGGAAAAAGACTTAAGTGAGACGAGTATACCACATCATCCGGTGTGTTCATACAATAAAATTATGCCTATCACTTTTTCTTTCCATCTAAATACCTAAAAATGCCTCAGTGACCACGTGACACCTATATTCTAACAGACTGACAACATTTATTCAATTATTTCCTGACAGCAAACAAACAAAATCAAAATCAACCAAAAACGAATTAAAAAAGTAATAAATTATACATATATTACCTCTAACACCGGCATTATTAACCAAAGCATCGATTTTCCCAAACGCTTCCCAAGCCTTCTGTACGGACTTATCAATGGTTGCTCCATCGGCGCAGACGTCCAGCTCCACAGCTGCGGCTCTAATACTCCCTGACTTGTTGATCTCATTACAGAGAGACTTGAGTCGATCGACGCGCCGAGCCGCAGCTATGATCCGGCAGCCGGCTTTTGCCAAATCGAGACAGAACTGGAGACCTAAACCCGAAGAGGCACCGGTGACCATAACCACTTTGTCGTTGATGTGGCGCCATGGCTCCAAGTGGTCCGACACCTCACTCGCCATTTCTGTAAAAGCCAGTCAAGTGAAAAACCTTAATTTATAGAAGGATGGAAGATGGAACTTTTTTTAAAAAAAAAAAATCATTTGGGGATTTCAACTTTATTTATTTCTTTTTAAAGAAAAACAAAAATCTGTATTTTGAAAATAGTTTCTAAAACTAGAAATAACAAAACGTGACGTGTTGGACATAATTTTTTGTATTTTACAAGGACAAAATCTCTAAAATAGTTAGCAAATAAATCTTTTAATTTTGTTAATTAAGGTGATGAAATTAGGAATATTAAATTAGGCATGAAACATGGGTATTGGTAGTTGTAGTCAATCCATTTATGTATTATTATAGTTTTGAATGTGGTAGTGAAGTGTGAATATTTTATATGCAAATGGATGACAGTCAAGTCCACTTTTAATTTAAGGAAACTTCTAAGTTCACTACTTATCTTATTATAACACAAATGGGTAGGTGTAAACACTCCATGCTTGACTCACCTAAATCCCACGCAATTTAAGGAAACTTCTAAGTTCACAACTTATCTTCTCTACAGGTTTTAAAAAGCCATGAACACACCCATATTTTTAACTGCCGTTAAAACACAATTAACTTTAAAAGGGTAGTAACGGAAACAAATATTTCTCTTTCTTCTTCCTCTTCTTCTCTTCCAGATTTCTCTTTCTTCTTCCTTTTCTTCTCCACTTTTCTCTTTCTTATCTTCTTAACTCCACATTTTTAACCCTACACAACTATGAGAAAGCCATTTCATTCCGATCCCCCACCAAAGAAGCCAAATCAAGCCATCCAAAATACTTATAACCATTGTTTTAAAACCTAACCTATTGTGAGACCAAGTCACAAGTCGACCAGTCCAACCGGTTGAATCGATAACATTAGCAAGAATTTATAAAAAATTATAAATTAGTCTATTAAATTTTAGTATATTGTGAAATATATCTGAAATTGCAAATTAGTTCCTGAAATTTTAATTTTTTTTCAAATGCCCAAAAAACTCAATTAGTCCCTAAAGTTTTAAAATATTTAAAACACCCCTATAAATTACAAATTTGAAATATAATAGAAACCCCCTTGAACCTGAACCGAACCAGAGAGTTTACCAAGTCCCGGTCGGACCAGTTTGGTTCGAGTTTTAAAACAATGCTTATAACTTCACAAATCCAAAATATACTTGAAAATTGGAGAAGAAAGACATAAACAAAAAAAGAAAAAAAAATGGAGGAGAAGCAAATTAGAAGATGAAAAAGAAAAGTGTAGAAGAAAGAGAAAATTGTTTTTACGTTTTTACCCTCTTAATGTTAGTTTTTCTTAACTTCAGTTAAAAATGTGGGTGTCTTTATTACTTTCTGAAACCTGTCACCTTCCCAAACCTCATGGGTGAATTTAAATTTCTCAAATTAAGTACCACAAATTTCCTCTTTCTTTCTATATCTGATGCAATCGAATTATATTGTAGTGCAGGTAATTAAAATAATAATAATAATAATAAAAAAGCTCCCACATCTACACCGGCCCCTTTCAGAAATTAAATTTCATGAGTCAACTAGTTGTATAATAATTGTTGGAAATAACACAGAATAACAAATATTCTAATTTCATCTCAAGATCATGTTCACAGTCACCCATTGCAATCACATTTTTCATATAAACGAACTACAATGAATTTAACATAGCATAAATACCTCTTCTTCTTATCTCTGAAGCCAAAAATTGAATCTGAAAGAAAACTACGAAGAGTATTTTTCTTTTTCAATTTTAGAGAGAGAGAGCGTATTTTTCCTTGTTTATTGGTGTGTGCGTCTCTTCTTAAAAGAAAGAACTTTTCTTTTATATGTAGCGGTTAGTGAGAAACTGTCTTTGGCAGTTTCATTTCACACACGTCGCTTGGGGTAACCCATCATGGGTGGACCCTTATCCAATATCTCCCACTCACACATGATGGGACTATCTCTTTCTGTGCTTCTTTAAGGTTCATACATTAGTAAATATGTCATGTGACCATGCATACTTCGAGAGCACATTAGTCATGTATCTGTTAGGAATATATAACTTCTCGAATTGTGAAACTTAGGTTGTATGTTGTATGCAATACCCTAATAAGATCAATCAGCATCTCTTCCAGAGCTTTCCTGGAACTTGAATTCAAGGAATCAAAAATCTCCGTCCCACGGTCGATTGTTCGTGGGTGATCATCTGGGAGACCATCGGAGAAGGTCTTGAAGTGGAATCCAGGATACTGAGCAAAACGGGCTTGAATATCAGTGTAACGGAGGAGGCGTTTGTGGTTGTGGCCGGAGTTTAGAAAGGTGATATAGAGGCCTGCTAGGCTGAGGTGCTGTGCAAGCTGCAACATGGGGTTTATATGGCCTTGGACTGGGAAAGGAAAGATCAGTACATGAGGAGGGTGTGGCTTTTCTTCCATTGTAAGAAATATTATAGAGATAGATCGCTTAATGACAGTACTTGAATAACTTCTTAACTAATAGGTTATGCGTACAAAAAAAATATTAACGTCTAAACAAAAAAGTTGTAACTTCAGTTTCTACAGAAAATTCAAAAAAAAAATATATAATTAAAAGAAAGCATTAAACAGCATAAAAGGAAACAGAATTAAATCAAAATCCTCTTTATAGAATTTTTACGATAGCAATTATTCAACCCAATATATCAATTGCTTCTTCGACATTAATTAATTCTCTTCCCTCTTATTGATCATTAAAAAAGAAAAAAAAAAAAAAAGCTGCAAGATTGGGACAATTAAAGCTAAGCTTCAACATAGCAGTATACTACAACTAACATTCAGCTACAATGTGTTTGAAAGCTCATATTCCTTATGTCATTTATCAGAAGGTCTAAGTTGCCACGTGATGATCCACCATCACTAATACTTCTTCTAGCCAAAGTAGCCAAATTTTTGGCTGATTTCACAAACTCTTCCCTCCTCTCAACCATCACATCGTTAATCATTCTCTCAACCACCTTTCTATCACAAACATCTTTCATATCAATTCCAATTTTCCACACCTCACTCACAAACCTACTATTCAACGGTTGATCAGCTAAACATGGCCAACATATCATGGGAACCCCCGCCACTATACTCTCTAAAGTTGAGTTCCAACCACTGTGGGTCAAGAATCCACCGACTGCCTTGTGGGCCAAGACCTCCTCTTGTGGAGCCCAACCCACTATGTACCCTCTCTCCTTAGTCCCCTCCGCAAGCTCCATTGCGCTATCATCATCACCACCCACTGAACCCGGCCTAGTAACCCACAAGAACCTCTGTTTACTATTAACAAGTCCATGCCAGAACTCCAGGTATTGTTCTCTTGTTAGCATTGCAAGACTGCCAAAGCTCACATAGATTACAGATTGTGGAGGCTGTTTATCAAGCCATACCATGCAACTTCTATCCACTTCCCAGAGACTGTTTGATGATTTGAATGATTCCATATTATTTGAGGCTGCTAATCTTGTTTCGAGGTGCAGGTGGAGAGGTCCAATGGTGTAGATTTTGGGGCACTTAGTGCGTATATGAGATAGCATAGGTCCTTCTAAGTCTTCAAACGTGTTGAGTAGCAGAACATCGACTTCAGAGGACTTCAGAGTCGCATCCAAAACAAATTGAAAAATCCGGTCGTTTATGTCATTGTCTTTGCAAATGCCGGGGAGATCTCGGCCACGGAGAAAAGCTTCCATGCCTGGCACTGTCGTTATCAGACGATCCATGTCTTCATGACGTCCTTCAGTTAACAATGGAACAAACTTCAGGACTTTTTATTGAAAAATTAGCAAGAAATTTGTATGTAAACCTTTAAAAATAAATGAAAGAATTATCAATTGATCCCAATAGTTTCTAAAAATTAATGGAAGAGTGATCGAAACCTCTCAGTGGTATGTTGCCCGCTTGGATGAGTAGGGGAATGCAGAAATACGCCCAAATGGAACAAGCACTTACAGTGCGAAAATGAATGAGAGGAATTTTAAGCTCCTTAGCAACGTCAGGAACAAACCCCAAAATTCCATCTCCGATGATGCAGCTCACTGGCGGCAAAGTATCAATCAGCATCTTTTTAAGAAACGGCCGGGCACTTAAATACAAGGCATCGAACATCTCCGTAATTTGGTGAATTGTTCGCGGGTGATCATCTGGGAGACCATCAGAGAAGGTCTTGAACCTGAATCCAGGATACTGAGCAAAACGGGCATGAATATCAGTATAACGGAGGAGGCGTTTGTGGCTGTGGTGGGAGTTTAGGAAGGTGATACTGAGGCCTTGTAGGCTGAGGAGCTCGGCAAGCTTCAGCATAGAGTTTAGATGGCCTTGGAACGGGAGAGGAAAGATGAGTAGATGAGGAGAGTGTGGGTTTTCTTCCATTGTAGCTTTTACTCAGTTCTTTGCAAGAAAACCCTTGGCCTTCGTGAGGAATCTTGGTCAAATATTTGAATAAATAGAAGGAAACTTTACCTTATCTTTGTTGCACTATTTTCTATGGCTATTATGTTATTTAAAAAATAGGATATATATTTGTTGACTTATTGATCCAATTCAATCTCAAAATTAATCAAACTCAAATAAGATTTTTTTTTTATCTTGATTGGGACTTGTTTTCGTATTATCCAATTATATTCAACTGAAAATATTTTTCCAACTCTATTTAAATAAAAATAATTTTTTTTTCTTTCCTTTACCACTCTCTCTCTCATTTTTCTCTCCTTCGAATCTGAAAATTAATTTACCCAAGACCACCATTGTCAACTGCCACTACTGTTGACAGTCAATGTGGTCAGAACGATGCATGACTGGCTGGATCTGACCTATCGTTAGACCTGGCAAAACGGGTGGGTGGGCCGGGTACAGTCCAGGTTATACTGGTACAGGTCATACGGGTGCGGGTCCTTATACGGGTCGATATATACGGGTCCAATATGTTGGACCCGTGCCCTACCCTATACGGGTACGGGTGGACCCGCGGGTAGACCCGTTTTTTCTCTCTCCAGATTTTAGTTTTCTTTCACCCCTAATAGTTTTCAATTATGACAGTTACACCCCCAAAATTCCTGCAATTTTAATTTTTGACATTTACACCCCCTAAATCAACTACTCTAAATTCAATTCAATTAAGAATATAAACAAATATGAACCAAAATAAATAAATAACACATAAACAAACAATAACATATAATACAAAACTACAAATACCAACCAAAATAAACAAAAACAAAATCAATAAAACACAATTACACATAAACAAACAAAATAAGTCAATAAACTATAAATACGAATTAAAATAAACAAATACATAATTGTTTATTTCTAAAAAATAATATTTCTAATTTAGTATAAACAAATAAAATCAAACATAATTGTAAATAAAAAAAAAAAACTCTTGATATAATGAAATGCACAATTATATCAAGCCCATTCTCACTGGCTGGCTCTGTAGCCTTGTTTCGGTCTATTCTCTCTCCAAATCCATCCCCAAAAGTGGAGCCTTCTCGTCGTTAATATCGAAGTTGAGCGTAGCCCAGTTGAGAAATGAAGGGCTGGTTCTGGGTGTTTTTTGTGTTGGCAAGACTGGTGGCCACTTACTGGCAACAAGCGTTTTTGTGGGAGGTGGCTTTGAGTGGGGTCCATGAATTGAGGGTTAATGTTTTTGAAAAGGTTTTGCAGAGAGGCTTGGCGTTTTTTGAAGGTGGGTCTGTAATTTCGAGTACCTTAAATGCCCCTTGGTTTGCAGAGTCATGTAGATGTCTCTGTAAACCAATTCTACTGCTGAATTTTCTGTGTCTTGCAGACTTGCAGATTCTATGTTCCTCTCATTGGTGAGTGAGTGAAAAACTCTTGGCTTTGTTGTTGTTGATGGTTTTTCTCAACTGGGTTTGTTTGCTTTTTGGATTTTTCTGGTAAAGTTCGTAGCTTTATTTAGTTTGTTGTGGTTTTTTAATTGCTATTTAGGCCCGAACCAGGAATGGGAATGACTGACGATTGACGAAGCAACGAGTGACGAACTGACGAATCGAAGCTGGTTCCTCACTGACGATGAGATGCGGCCGCGATCTGAGACTGAGAGATCAGAGATGAGATGTTGAGATGAGAGTGAGACTGTAAGAGGGAGGCGTGAGCGTGATTCGTGATGAGTCTGATGACTGATGAGATGCGTGAGAGGGAGGCGTGACTGCGTGAGTGTGAACTGTGATCTCTATTCGTGATTCATGATTCCGATTCGTGATGACTGTGACTCTGTGAGAGGGAGGCGTGAGAGGGAGGCGTCAGGCGTGAGAGGGAGGCGTGAGTGTGAACTGTGATCTCTGCGTGATAAAAAATTAAAGACTTTTAGGGATTCAGACATTCAGTGAATAGTAGTAGCCTTGGCAAATACGGGTGCCCACGGGTTCACCCGTATGACCCGTGATTTATTGGACCGGGTACGGGTACGGGTCACAAAAAATGGGTTTAATTTATTGGACCCGTACCCTATATTTTTTACCCGGTTACGGACTGACCCGCGGGTCCAAACCCATTTTGCCAGGTCTACCTATCGTGTACCGATCTAATGGATTTGGCCAGAAACGGCCAAATTTTGGCCTGTTGTGCGGTCAATCCAGAAAGGATAATTCCCTATTAGAAGAGAAGATATTTAGATTGACTCAATTTGAAAGGAAGATATTCAGATTGACTTAGATTCTAACTAAGGTAGCCGAAGATCATGCAACTTCTTAATTTTACGTATTTGAATCTTATCTCAACTCTATCATGTAAATGAGTGCTATATAAACTCATCATAACTTGTTTTCAAGGGGGTAGGGCAATTGTTCTAAGCAAATTTTCCTAAGAATTATACTGCTCTCAAAAGCAATAAGATAACAGTGGACGTAAGCTTAAGTTCTAACTTGTCGAACCACCTTAAAAATCTTTGTGCCATCTTCTTCTTTACATTCAGTATTTGTTCATTGCTGATTATCAGTAATTACGAACACACTAGTTCCGATCCTACCAAGGTCAATCGGATCACTCTAGTTGGTGCAGATTTTTGTATCAACATTTTGGCGCTAGAATGAGGGTTTGAACACTCTGAGCTCTCTCTGTTTTCCAGCAGTTTCTTTTCCATCTTCCAACCACAAAAAAACTAGCCATGGCTACAACCCAAGTCACCAAATCCAACTCTAGAATTGAAGGTGCTGCCAGATGGGGAGTATTGAGCATGATAAATCATGATTATGGAAAAGTGGTAAACATAAGAGTTGTAGATCTTCGAGTAAGTTTTCCAACAGTTCAAGAATCGTCCAAATCCGAGGTCTGCAACTCAAGTGATCATCAAATTACTGAAGCATGTTCCAAACTCGCCATAACTCGTTAATGAGAGCGTGAACTCGCCATAACTCGTAAACAAGAGTACGAACTCGCCATAATTGGTAAACGAGACTGCAAACTCACCATAACTCATAAATGAGAGTGCAAACTCGCCATAACTCATTAATGAGAGAGCGATCTCGCCATAACTCGTTAATGAGAGTGCAAACTCGAGCATGATATAGTCTGAATATGGCAAAATGTTAAACATAAGAGTTGTAGCCCTTCAAGTAATATTTCCAATGGTCTAAGAATCGTCCAAATTTGAGATCTACAACTCAAGTTATCATTAAAATACTGAGGTATGTTCCAAACTTGTTAACGAAAGTGCAAAGCTTTTGTTTTAGAGCTCGTTTTAAGAGCTCTTCATTTTAGAGCTCGTTTTGAGAGCTCGTCATTTTAGAGCTCGTCTTTTTAGAGCTAGTTGTCTTAAAGTCAGTCTGTTTAGAGGTCGTTTTAAGAGCTCGTCATTTTAGAGATTGTTTTGAAAGCTCGCCGTTTTATAGCTTGTCATTTCAGAGCTCGCCATTTTATAGCTTGTCATTTCAGAGCTCACCATTTTGTAACTCGTCATTTTAGAGCTCTCCATATTATAGCTCGTCATTTTAGAGCTCGTTTTCAGAGCACGTTTTTTCTGAATCGTCGTTTCTAAAGCTCATAGTTTTTGAAGTCCGAACTCATGCACCTAGATCTTCAGCTTCAGATCGCACACCCAAACAAAGCTCTTCATGCTTTATGATCGACCTATGCTCTCAGATCAAGCTCTCCGTACTTTCTGATCCAGCTATGCTCTCAAATCAAGCTCTATGTGCTTTCTGATCGAGCTATGCTCTTAGATCAAGCTCTCTGTGCTTTCTGATCAAGCTCTACGTGCTTTCTAATTGAACTCCTCACACTCTCTGATCGAGCTTTTTATGCTCCCTGATTAAGCTCATAAGCTCGCTCATTCGCTTGAGATCATGTGTTCAAGATCTCTCAGATCTCATAAATCGCGCCAGGCATAACTCAAGTTCTTCAGTTCAAGATTGCAGCCTATAGTGTGACAACTATCCAGATCAAAGACATTAGTTTTTGAAGCATGATTACGCACTCCAAAAACTGGGGGGCTATTGTTGTGCGGTCAATCCGGAGAGGATAATTCCATATTATGAGAGAAGATATTTAGATTGGCTCAATTTGGAAAGAAGATATTCATATTGACTTAGACTCCAACTAAGGTAGTTGAAGATCATGCAACTTCCTAATTCTACGTATTTGAATCTTATCTCAACTCTATCATATAAATGAGTGCTATATAAACCCATCATAACTTGTTTTCAAGGGGGCTGGACAATTGTTCTAAGCAAATTTTCCTAGGAATTATACCGTTCTTTGTAAGCTCTCAAAAGCAATAAGATAATAGTGGACGTAGGCTCAAGTTCTAACTTGCCAAACCACCTTAAAAATCTTTGTGCCATCTTCTTCTTTACATTCATTATTTGTTCATTGTTGATTATCTGTAATCATTCACACACCAGTTTCGATCCTACCAAGGTCGATCAGATCACTCGGGTTAGTGCAAATTTCTATATCAACATGGCCGAGATCTGGCCGTTAACAATGGTCATAATCTAGTTGTCAATGGTCAGATTCTGGTCATAGATTTGTCCGTTTTCAGCCAGATCTGTGGGAGATTTGGCCAAAAATGGCCATATCGACGCACGACTGACCAGATCCAATCGATCGTGCACTGTTCCGGCAACTGCTGACTGCCATCCGATTGCCCTTTTGGGTGGCTGAGGTGCTTTAGTTCACTTTTAAACTGTTATTGTGGGGTTTAACTAAACTAACAAATGTAGAGGTTTAAAAAAATAATCTAAATATTTAAAAAAAATGTACTGAACAACTATTCTGCCTTAAAAAATAAAAACATTTTTCAAAAAATGTATCAAACAACTATTCAGCATTTTATCAAACTCTGATATACTTTTTCAGATATTTTACCAAACACATTTTTAGAATATGATCCAATTCAATTTTATTCAATTAATTCTGCTCACATGTCTTCTATACTTTATTATATGTTCCCAATCCAAAACATCGGATGCTGCAAATT